AAGGAAAGGAAAGGAAAGGAAAGGAAAGGAAAGGAAAGGAAAGGAAAAAAGAAAAAGGGAAGGGGAAGGGAAAGGGGAAAGAAAGGAAAGGAAAAGGAGAAAGGGAAAGGGAAGGGAGGAAAAGGAAAGGAAAGGAAAGGAAAGGAAAGGAAAGGAAAGGAAAGGAGAAGAGGAAGTAAGGAAGAAAAGGAAGGACGAAAAAACAGAGAAAGGGAGGAAGGAGGGGGAAGGGAGAAAGAAGCTTGAAAATAACTGAAAAATATCATCGTTCATTCATCAAATGAAACGTGTTAAGGATCTAACTTCCTAACATTAATAATAGAATATTCCTCAACTCCTGTCTATCTACCTTACCCACCCACTGATAATATTACCAATACCCTAAATTATTCATCTGGAAAAATATTTTAGCTTTCTGCTATCATTAAGACCCACATTATTTGCAGCAAATCGTACTTCCTAATGGCTTTCCTTTCTAGTGCATTTTTATCCTCTTTTCACTTTATTCCCCACCTGCCTGACTTCCTTGTCTAACATTTACTGAGTGTACCGACAGAGATTATAGTCTCTGCACAACATCACATTTTATGATAAGAGTATATTAAAAGTAGTAAATCAAAATCTATACAATCTATGTATCAACACTGCATCAAAATTTAATAGCTTTTTAAATCTATTCTATTCCATCTAATTGGCAATCACTCCACAATTTGATAAACCTATGTTTTCCTGGAAATCAAAAATGGTTTGGAATCTTAAAATATTATCAATTGATTCCACATCAAACAACAAACAAATAATATACCAGTGTTACTGATTCTTACCAGTACTTTTGAAGAACGAAGTCCACAGAAATGAGAAATAAGTACAAGAGTTTGGATTGATATAGAAATGTCAGGTAGTGAAGCATCTAAAATGTCTCAGTTCTTAAGCTGGTAACACCTCAGTTAAAACTGTGGAAAATATGGGAAAATTGTCATATATACCATGATCAACATAAAACACTGATGGTAAAGTTGAATCTTTGATCAATCTCTTAAGAGTCCCCCAATTATTAAAATATAAAATGGTATCATAGAAAACTACTCTCATAATTTCACTATAGTTGGTTTTTGGTTTCTTTTTGTTTTGTTTTGTGCTTTTAAAAAATGACTATCACAATACATTGAGAGAGCAATCACTAAATTTTTCTAAGTTTGTAAATAACAAATTAGCCTATATCCCTCAACCATTGCTCCATTTTTAAATTCAACTTTAGATACATCATTTTATATTAGTCTATTCTTCCAGTAACAAAATTCCTATACCATCCCTTCTTGAATTAAACCATCTATGCATCAGTATATCTATTAAGCCACCCTGAAAGAATCAATGATATTATCACACTCACACAAACCATTTACGTATACATTGATCCCTACATTCATCATTACTGTAGCCAGCCATATGTGCACCTATGAATCTAAACACCCATTTATTTGCAGATGATGCATGCACCCAACAATCCATTCTGGAAACCATTAAGATTCTAACATCTATGTATCTAAACAACTATACCTTCACTGAACATTAAGTCCACCAAGCCATATATACCTCCGTCTTTCTGAAACATTAATTCTTTATTCTTGCATTAACAATCCACTTAATATTCTAGTTTAGATCCATTCTTTCAGTCATCCAATTCTGCACTGATTCATCCACTGTTGTAGCCTCAGTTACATAAAGCAATAGTTCATTATATCCACTTTCACAGCTGACTTTTAAAGTATCCCATCTTGCATTCCTTCATCCACTAATTTTTATTTTATTTGTGTATTTATTTGATTGAGATACAGTGAGAAAGGGAACACAAGCAGGGGGAGTAGAAGAGGGAGAAGCGGGCTTCCTGCTGAGCAGGGAGCCTGATGCAGGGCTCAATCCCAGGACCCTAAGATCATGACCTGAGCCGAGGGCAGAGCCTTTAACCCACTGAGCCACCCAGGTGCCCCTAGATTTTATTTATTTGACAGAGAGAGATCACAAATAGCCAGAAAGGCAGGTAGAGAGAGAGGAAGAAGCGGGCTCCCTGACAAGCAGAGAGCCTGATGCGGACTCCATCCCAGGATCCTGAGATCATAACCTAAGCCGAAGGCAGAGGCTTAACCCACGGAGCCACACAGGCACCCCCCATAATCAGACATAATCTGACTAAGTTTTACTACCCAAAGAACTAAAAAATGCGTGAGTGTTTAAGACTTAAAATGAATTTTAGGCACAACTCGCTATAAATAGAAAAGTTCTGTACCTCCCTTGGAGGATATTTCCTACATTGCTTTCTTAAGGGCTCTTTCTCTCTGACAAATAAAATCTTTAAAAAAAATGAACACTTAAAAAAAAAGAAGTTCCTATGTCTGTTTATCAAGAGTAGGCAAAGTGAGATCTAACACGCACATCAGTGGAAATCACCTCTTGAGAAGAGCGCCCAACTGAGAAATACTGGACTTTTAGCTAAAGGAATCTTTTTTTTGGTTTGTTCCCAATGAGAAGGACTCACGATTTAATGTGTAAATACAAAGTAAACTCATTATCTGAAGTCTGAGATGTATCCTATGGTAGATATCACTATTGATTCATATGTTCTTTCTACTCTCCCTTTGAAGACATGGGAGAAATAGTTTGTGAACCCTCTAAGTTTACAGATGTGTATATGATTGATTTTACCCAAGACAAAATCTAAAATATTACTGCTCATATTATGTAATTTTCCATGTTGTATCTCCAAGTGACAATAAACTCAAGTTGTGATCATAGTGACATGAGAGAATCAAGGTCTTTCTGGTATTTGGCCTATCAGTGACTGTCATTGAACCCAGGACACCTAACAAATTCCTATTGGAACAGTCTTTAAGAATACATCCTCGTAATTTAGAGTAACCAAAATTTACGAATTAACCTTTCCTGAATCAGTCTACCCACATATTCTTTCAGGGATATATCCATCAAATCATTCATCCTTATGACCATCTATTCATCTGTTCATTTCACATTATCAATGTATGATCCACATATCTGTTTCTTATCCATACTCCCTTCCACTCTCACATCAGAGCTGAGAGTAGTAAATAGGTCCTAAATTATTTGCTTAAATGTGCATCAAATCAGTCTGACTACAGGATTAACCTCAAATGACATCTCTATAATCTTTGCAAAGTTGTGATAAGCACTGGGTGTAGTATGTAAGTGTTCAATCACTATATTGAAATTAATATTAGACAGTATGTTAGCTGGAATTTAAATAAAAATCCTAAGTAAGTAAAAATAAAATAAAATGAAATTTTTCCATAGAATCTCAGGTATCTCTATTATGACTTTGCAGTATTTGCCAAACCCTTCAAGAGGTACAGTAAATCATTCTGAGGGATTGGGGTAAATGAGAGTGGGAGATGAAACATGAGCAATTGTGGATGCTGAGAAACAAACCAAGGGTTGTGGAGGGGAAGAGGGTGGAGGGAATGGTTGAGCCTGGTGGTAAGTATTAAGGAGGACACATAATGAATAGAGCACTGGGTGTGAGGCATCAACAATGAATCTTGGAAAAATGAAAAAAAATAAGATAAAATTAAGATGTTTAAAAAAATCATTCTGAGGGAAAACAAAAGGAGAGAAGAGCTCAGGATTTTGGAAATATCCATTATCCCCAGTACAAAAAAAAAAAATGCTGTCTTTATATTTACACAACTTTTAAAGGAATACCAAATCTTTTCTTTAGAATACTAACAAAACCACCAATCCCTTGAATTCTTACCTAAATCAAAATGTATTCCATCCTTTTATTTCTAACTTATTCCATTAAAACAGCATTTATTTTGTAGGACATTGAATGTAAGAATTAGCTATTTACAAAATTCTGCTGAAAGACCTGAACTGTTTTCAGATACTACCCAGGCAACAGGAACAAAGAACATTCACATAGTTGTGATGATAAAATCATTGTTTTGGGGCACCTGCATGGCTTGGTTGGTTAAGTGTCTGTCTTTGGCTTGGGTCATGATCCCAGAGTCCCTGGATGGAGCTCTGAGTCAAACTCCTGAATAAACCTTGGAGTCTCCTTCTCCCTCTGTCCCTCCCTACTCCCTCCCTACACAAGTGCACACACTCTCTCTCAAATAACTAAGTAAAATCTTTTTTATAAACCATCATTTTGCTATCATCACTTTCTACATCCTGACACTTAAATATCTTATTTATACTTATATCCCAAAAATTATTCCATAGTACCTTACATGTACTTACCAATTATAAGGTTACATATTACTACAAGATGTATAATGAATTTGCCACAAATTAAATAAATTGACTAAATCCTCAATCCCTATCCTTATAAGTTTTAAGTTATACACTACCACCATCATATAGTTTTACCAGATTCCCTTCCCCTCAGCTTGCTGAAAGAGTGTTGTCAAATACCTGGACTTACTGGAAATCTAATAGCTGAGACATTTATTATATCTTGTTTGTATTGTTAATTATAATTATACTTAGCATAAACAAATCCAAGGATACTTCCATATCAGTTTTTATTCCTTCCATGACTATCTGTTTAGTCATGGGTGCCTGGGCTGCTCAGTTGGTTAAGCAACTGCCTTCAGCTCAGGCCATGATCCCAGCATCATAGGATCAAGTCCCACATTGGGCTCCCAGCTCTTCATGGAATCTGCTTTTCCTTCTGACCTCCTCCCCTCTCATGCTTTCACTCTTCCTCACTCTCTCTCAAATAAATAAATAAAATATAAAAAAAATAAATGAGTTGTCCTTAGATTTTGTTGGTAGTTTTCTACCCCATATTAGGATCTATCTGTATTAGGAGATTTCAGTATTCTTATATTACAAGTATCCTTTCTTAATTATCATTTGGTGTTTGCTTTGCCCATTATGCTATTTTAACATTATGAAATTCATCACTTCTTTTCTTAACAATTCTAGAATTTTAATCATAAGGAATAAAATATCCTTCACTCCTAGCTTAAGAAATTCAGCATGTTCTGTAATTCTGTAATTTCCTGTTTAATTTAAACTTCTGATTCACGTAAAATCCATCCTGCTCTATACTGGAAGAAATGGGTCAAACTTCATTTTTCTGTATTTGGCTAACAACTCCCTCCAGTGATTGCAGGTAATTTTATTGCACTTTCTATTTCCTAATGAACCTGTAAAGTTCTTGATTTTCTGTACTATTGCATTACTGTGCATTCATGTGTAATACATTTCTTCTTTTTGATGTTCAATCTTAAGATAAACTTAGTGGCAATTATCACTGCCAATTTTAAGACTTCAACTCTCAATATTCTATCTTTTGCAGTAATACATATAAGGAACAGATCTATTGAGAAATAGATTCTTCTGTGATATATTTATTGCAGATATAAATATCTGGGGGCCCCAGGGTGGCTCAGTGGGTTGAAGCCTCTGCCTTCAGCTCAAGTCATTATCTCGGGGTCCTGGTATCCAGCCCACATCTGGCTCTCTGCTTAGCCGGGAGCATGCTTCCTCCTCTCTCTCTGCATGCCTCTCTGCCTACTTGTGATCTCTATCTCTCAAATAAATAAAATCTTTAAAACTAAATGAATAAGTAAATGTCCAAATCATTCTAGAGGAAACAGATAGCCTGTATTTATATATGTTCTTATAAATATAATGCTATCCTTAGCATAGAAAAGAGCCTTTTATTTGAAATACAGACCTATTCCGAATTTCCTTAATACTTCTGTCTTCTGTTTCACCTTAATATCAATAAATATTGCTTAAATGATTACCAGACATGTGATATAAATAGAGCAGATGAAAACAATAATCAAAGAAATCATACTGTTAACTTTTTTAGAAGCTAACTAAATGTCATTACTATTTTACTCATATGTGCAATTTAAGAAAAAAAAAAAAGGAGGAGATAAACGAAAAAAAAAAATGTCTTAAA